CGGTTGGACTCGATGGTCTTAGAGGTCTTTTCCAACCTTAATGATTCTATGAAATTTATTTCCCTTGGGAATAAAACTCACTTTGATTTTCAGTAATTTGTGCTCATAAATCACGTGTATGAAAATACCTGGCATGTATTTTAAGTTACTCTAACTGCAGTCTTCTCCAAGCTGTTTGTAATTTAAGAATATTAGAATATTTGTCAAGAATAGTACTTTTAGCAATGAATCAAAATATGTAGGTAATAATCATGTCAGCAATTACAGCTTCTGAACAGCTGACAGCAAATCACAGCTGTTGAAGGATGAGGTGTTTATGTCCAGACTTTGTGAAGAACTTAAAGCCTCTGCCAGCCTACCAAGCTACAGTGTTTCCTTATTTAATATGTCATAGAACTTGAGTGAAAGTTGTGCCTGGTTCAAAACAAAAATTCAAAAAAATTGAAAAAAACCAAAACAAAACACCATAAAAACCCCATGAAATGTGATGGATTTCTTTTTATGAAAAGATTTGAGGGAGAGAACTTGTAACCTGTGAGCTAAGCTACCTGGTGTGGAAGGGTCCAGCAGCCTTTCTTCAAACAGCAAATGGGGAGCAGCTGTGTGTTCTTGTGAATCATGTTTCTGTCACCATTTAGTGCCCATTGCCTGAGTGCGCTGTACCACAGAGAGCAAAACTGTGTTCCTGTGAATAAGAGTCATTACACATTAGCTGTTGAAATAAGTCTGTCTAGCATTCATTGAAAGTGGTCTTCTCATAACTTTCTAACAGCATTCTTTAAAACAGATTTCTATTTAGAGCAAAGTACTTGGGATTAAATAATTTTAAAATAAAGAAAAAGTTGGTCTACATGATTTCCCGTTTTTCCCTCAGGTTTACTATTTCCTGGTCCTGAAAGTGGCAGCCCTTCACAGAGCCTTTGTCCGCCAGCCTGGCTGGCTGACTGCTGCTGGCATCCACACGTTGTTTTTATTAGGGCAGTCACCTCACCTCCATTCCCCAGCCTGAGGAGATTGCAGCGTGGCTCTGTGCCACTGTTTTGTAGCAGTTTTGCAAGATTTTTGTGGTTTTATGAAGGATACAAAAGTGCATCCCTCTTAAGAGTTCTTACCCAAATTCTCTACTAAGCCAAAGTTGGGTAAGATTGCTGCTGTTTTAGCTTCCTTTAGGCACTAATGGAAGCCAAAAGTATCTGACAAGCTCACCAAGGATTTTTCTCAACCGCAACTGCATCTGAACTTCCTTATTTAAAAGCGGTGAGAAGCCAAATGCCTCAGTCCTAGGAAAGAATGAAGTCCACACAGTTGTGGATAGCCTTAACAGCCATAAGCTATAAACTGTTATGCAGTGCTATCATTTATGATTGCTGTAGAGTACCTATGCAAAGTTATCTTCTCAGCTGTTTAGTCTCAAAGATAACTGGCAAATGTAATACTGGCTCATCTCTTCTCAGCTTCTCAGGACCCCATGGAAGGATAAAAGCACCCAAATGTAGTACATATTCATCAGAATTACAGTGCTGGCGTCTTGTTTCATAACAACTGTTTGGTAAGTACTTAAAATTCACCAGGAATTGTGATTTTCCTTAGTTTTCCTGTTTACGTATACTCTCAGTTCTTGGAGACCAAAACATGCTTCACCCTACAATTTGTTCAGCTTGCACAGATTTCTTTCAGCGTCTGAACGGCCCTCATGCATTGTGCTGCCACCCAGCTAGTTGTGTCCCGTTGTGGAACATGTGGTACAGGTGGTCTCAGTTGCTTTGCGTTTCTCATTGCTGCAGCTTCAATGCTCCATCAAATACTATGCTGCCATATGAGCAAGCGCAGGAGAGGGGAGTCCCAGGGGTTTCTACTTGCTCATCAGGGCTTGCAGGGAATTTGGATCTGTTTTGTACTGAGAGAATCGCTTGCTCAGGCGTGTAACATGCAGAAAAAGAGATACCTAATGATTTGATTATTGTGAGAATATCCTTTTACTGGGGAAGAAAAGAGATCATTGATCTTTCTTCATGCCTTCTCACTATTCTATCTGTTTCTGACTGAAGTTTACCTTCTTGCTGCTTCACCCTATCACTAATTATCAGCATCCTTAAAGACTTAAAGGCTTCAGTCTCCAAAGCTCTTAATCTAGACATGCTCGCAGGCAGAACTTGTGTCTATCCATAATCCACACAGACCTGCCAATACACTTCAACTTCTAAAACCAGCATCGTCCCAGGCTGGGCTTTGGGCTAACCTCCAAGAAATCAGTCTGAATTATATTGCAAAGTATCACCCTAAGGAAGAAGAACGAGGACTGTAATGTGCACAGTCTGGGGTGGAAAGCTTAGTGTCACCTTCTCTGTCATTTTGAGTTTGCGTGCAGGCTTCTTATCAAAGCCCCGCCTGTGCAATCCCAGGGCTCTCCAGCCCCACCAGCGTCACAGGATTTAAGGCCATTCGGTATTTGACTGGCTCGGGTCCTGAGCAAAAAGGTCTTGTGTACATGTATAAACTCATGAAGATCATTCTTTTGAAGGCAGAAAACATGCAATGCTGTACAAATGTGAAGTGTTATTGTGATTTTGAATGTTTCTAGAAATGAACAAAACCAAATAAATCACTCTGATTTATTGTGGAAATGGAAAGGAGCAGAGTGTTAATGACTGGATACAAAAACTGCACACTGGAAGGTTAAAAGCCAAAAAACTGTGTATGTAAATATGTTTAATGAGTACAGTTGTTGACAGCAAACACTGGCTGTATATGACATACCATGTACTTATAGAATACATCTATATACACATTTATATAAGACTGAAAAGGCACTAGAGTTTTCCAAATAAAACACAAGTAAATTAACAATGTAAATCCAAACATGGAGGTTGGGGAACCTGTTTAGGAGGACGCGCTGGAAGGGAAACTTTCAAAATCACATGGGAAGTTAGAAACCAGTCTCCCACTGAAAGCCAGGGAATTCGAAAGTCCAGCTCCCAATTTGTATCTTCAAAATCTCCCTTAATATACTGGTCAGATGCCAAAGAATGTATCTAGTATGAGACTAACGAGTCTATAAAGGAATGTGCAGTACTGCAGCAAACTACATAGCATTAGGCTTCTTATGAAGCTGGAGAGCTTACTATAAGATCTGGCACTCCTGTTCGTGCTATTATAATTGTTGAAAGAAATTTGTAGAAAGAAATGGATTCTTACAATGCTGAGGATCTAAATACATTCCTGTGCAAGTAGTGCCCAAGAAATCTTGGAGCTATTTGCGGGGGAAGGTGCTATGGGAATAAGGTAGGGTGGCCAAACCTGGTGGCCAGCCTTTCATCTGCTTTTGCCAGAGTGACCTTTCTACTTTCAGCTGACTGAAATGTTTATGGTTTAAGAAAAAATGTATTTTTTAATCTCTTGAAAAAACCTCACTGTAGAATAATATGATATGAAGGAAACTTGGTAAAACAAAGCTAAGATAGTATGTGTATGTGGAAAAAAAAGCTAAGTAGAAATGAGTAGTAAAACTGTCTTATGGGTGGGTGTGTCTTTTAATGATTTTAGCTTTTGTGATTTCATTGCCTTACCTATGGAGCGTAGGCTGTAAGTGCAAGATGAGTGTAGGTAGTTTTGCAGGTCATGATTTTAGCAGTTGTAAGAAATGCCGAGTATGTTTACATGACACTTATTTACATAGGAAATTAAAGCAACAACCAGCAGTGTTCAAGCAGCTGCGATGTCTGTGTCACGAGCCTAATGCATAGAGTGGCAGATCAGTCAGTCCAGGGCAGACTTCATGTAAGAGTCACTTTCATTTTGGAGACACAACTGCTTTGGTCTGATTCTCAGAGCAGCTACACCTGTAAAAGACACAGCATCTGCTGTGCAGGGAATAATGAATTTCGTAATTGTGTGCAAAATCATGCATGTACTTAAAGTCCTGTTAATCCAAACCCTCAGTTAGCGTTGTGGATGTAGGTGGATAACACACGGCAGACCAGCTGAACGGCCTCGCTTTCTGAGACACCTTTGGTGCTCCCGTTATTGTAAAGGCCCCTGATTCCATTCAACTGATTCTTGTTTTCCTGAAATATTTTATTACTTCCGCATTACAGATTTTGCCTTTTCCATATGGAGTGTTTATGCTGGCTGGCTGCTCTGCAGAAACTGTGATGGAGAGTTGGGACTTAAGTCAATGCCGAGTGCCCCCAGCTCCGGCTGTGTCTCCTTGCTCCTGCCCTGGAAGGTGCTGAGTCTGCTCTAAGGGCACGGTGGGCTGCAGGGTGCCGGGGGGACGAACGCAGCATGAAAGCAGATGTACCTGGGTCTGCAATGGAGCTGCTGTCTCATGGTAGAAGCTCTTTTTTAATTCGTACCAAAGTTTTTGGCATGGTATCTTTAGTAACTCAGATATAAAGTCCTTACAACTGCTTTGTCACCTGTTGAGTACCTTTCTACTATGCTTTTACTAAAAATGGATGGACTGGGCTTTTCCTAGAAGCGAGTGCAATTGCCAGTAGCTTTAGCAGGGACAAGACGTTACAGGCTGCAACAGGTTCTCAGGCTGTACAGACCAGTAACACCCAGACTATCTCAGAGAGAAGTGGCTTCTCCTAAGTAGTTTTAGTCTTTTTGTAGACACCTAATTGTCTTCACGGGATCGTTTTGTAGAGAAACCTGTGTTCTCTCCCAGGAGAACTCCTGCATTTCCCAGAGGATTTGGTTAGCATCGCAGGAAGTCCAGCTTTTGTTCATTCCTTAGTAAGTGTACATTGCAAGCCACGTTTTTAAAAGATAGTCAAAACAGCTTGGAAATATTTCTTTGTTTTAAACATGATCAAGACAAAGCACAAATCTGAAAGTATTCCTACATGGACCTGTCAGTGCAGTACTGCTAGGGCAGCATCCATCCAGCAGTGTAAGCAAGCTTTAGCCAGCAATAACCTTGCCAAAGTGTTTCCTGGTACTAGATATTCTGTGTTTGTAATGACCATTTCTGACCTCATCCTGCAAACATGCAAGTATTTGCGTATTCTTTTTATTTATTGGTATTGACCGTGGTAAGTCTGCTGAGTTGAGAGATGCATGCATGCACTCAGGTACTTAGAGAATTAGGATCTCAGGGGCACAAAATGGAGGATGCACCATATATAAGCAACTGGCAATTATAGTCACTTGTTAAAATGGTTTACAGTAGCCTGTGAGGCACAAGAAGGAACATAGCACAGCTTTAAATAAGTATAAAATTTTAGATTGTATATCCTATATTTTGCTGAAATGTGAAACTTGCACAATTATTTATGCCACAGATGAGTTGCATCTAATAAAAAAAAAAAAATCCTGCGATGAGTTGCATCTAATAAAAAAAAAAAAAAATCCTGCAAAAAAAAATCAATCTTCCTTCCAATTACAATTCTCCATTTTCTTTCTGTTAGCTTATGAGACGGTACTTTCATTTAATGTCACAATGCTCTGTGACTACAGAAGTTACGTATGTTTATGAAAAAATGGACCAGTATATCAAATTAAATAGAATGTATGCACCAGGGAATATTATCCTGGAGTACTTGTCGATGGCATGAGTGTCGATCCGCATGCTGACGTATCTCAGGTTTTTCCTCCTGCCTGAGCCCCTCTCAGACCCCAGCGCCAGCTGCACCATCATTCGGTCTTGTTTATCTCCGTTCTCAGACATGTAGTGCCCCAGTTCGTTCACATCCCCATCGTTGTAACTGCCGTCCATCATCATGGGCCGAGGCTGAGGTAGGCTGCACGCACAGGGAAGCTGTGGACACAGGTGAGTGCGGGATGGTTTTGAGTTGTGTCCAGATATACACAGACATCCCTTTTCTCCTTACAAAAGCAGAGGAGGGGACAAGCCTGGGGAATTCAGGCTGCTGGGACGAGAGGATGGAGCTGGGCAGCAGCTTTTTGCTTCTCCATTTTCATGTCTGCAAGACGCAGTCAGGGAGAGAGCGGGGCTGCCTGTGAAAAAGCTCATTTGGCTGAAGCATGTATCAGGGTGTAAGTAGAGGTTGGACCTGTACCTTAAAGCTGACAAAATCAGAGAAGAGGGCAGAGGGAATCCACAAGGAGGAATGTATCAGGCTTGCCCCATTTGAAAAGAAGTGCTTAGGTTATAATTTGATGTAACGAAGGCAGAAGGGGGAAGTTTGGACCACTGTGTGTAAGTTTAGACTGTGCCTGGAGAAAGGGGGGAAATCTGCCATGCTATCTGAAACCCAAACCACAGTATCCATCTGGTGCTATTCACAGGCTTGGATCTTCAGCATAAAAAAATATTTAAAGGTAAAATCCTAAACCCTGTCCCACATATACAGGCAGTGGAGGGCTACACATGGAGGGACTGAGTGCCCTCAGACTCTGAAGAGCGAGCAGTGAGTTTGGGTGTGGGTTGTCTGTAGCAAATCTTTATAACCAGGAATGCCTCACTGCTGGTGCCTTTTTGCGTGCACTGCATGCTCCCTAGGCAGCTGAGAGCAGCACACTGGAGATGCAAACTTTTGAACATTTCCAGACATTTGCCACACCATTTCCCAGGGGCATGAAGCTGCATCGGAGATAGAAAACCTCACCTTGTCCCGCAGTTTCCTCTCCTTCCGCTCTTGCGCTGTAGTCAGGTAATTCACTGCCGCGTATTCCAGCACCGAGAGGAAGACGAACACAAAACTGACCCACAGGTAAATGTCTACTGCTTTGATGTAGGAAACACGGGGCATGGAGGCGTTCACCCCAGTGATGATCGTGGACATGGTCAGCACAGTGGTTATCCCTGGGAATACACCAGCAGAGAGCCCGTAAGGCACTTTCAGCCCAGACTCTTCATCACAAATACAGCTGTCATTACAATTTCCTGACATTTGAATTTACCTTGCAGTATTGTTTTTCACATTTCAGTGGTGGGTTTCACTGCCTGAGGAGGGTCCAGGCAGCCCTGATTTCTTACTGGGGTTGGTGAGAACAGCTCTAGTTCTGGTCTCAGGGTGTTGCTAGCCTGGTTCCCCGCCGCACTACCAGCCTCCCACCCCACGGCCAGCAGCAGCGCTTTGACCCCACACTGGCTGCGCCCCATCTCCGGGCTCAGGATGTTCCCCAGAGGGGGTGTACAAGTAGCTCAGGTTCTAGTTCGCCCCCTCTGCAGCACAGGCACAAGTGAAGCCCGTCTGCTGCTGCTGCTGCTGCTTCCACCAGGTTCCCCAAGCCTGTGTTTTCTGTCTGCTCCTGGGAAGTCACCAGCCAGCTCCCAAGCTGGTCTGTGCCTTCCCTGGAGCAAGAGCAGGGGCTAATGGGGCCCCACAGGGCAAAGCTGCACCATGTTACACCATGGGTGAGAACAATGAGCACATCAACAAGGGCAGGAGCCCCTGTAGTTCAGAGTTATCTTAGCTCTGAGGGAGGCTCTCTGTGACCCTCTTATTCCAGGGGCTAATTATGTCACATTAATGATCCCTTTGAAAGTTGAAATGATGTATATAAGCACAAAGGACTGAATTCACAGGAGTATCCAAGCACTAAAATATACTGCTAAAGGTAGTGCCTACATCTCTCGAAAAGCCATGGCCCAAACCCTTATGCTCCTTTTAATGATGTCTCAAGGCAATGGATGCTGTTTCTAAACACAGACATGGATAACTGCCCCGTGCTATCTCTGTTATGCCTGTATATATCCTCTCCACTGAGGAATATAATTTTAACAATAAATAAAATCCTGAGGAGTGTTGCCTGGAATAAGCAGAAGCAAGCTTGGGCTCAAAGTCTGCAAAAATACAAACAGCGCTTTGCTAAGGGCAAAGCGTCTGCTTTAGAAGAAGATTTATGTCCATAGTATAGTTCTGCTCCCATGGTGATTCCTCTGGCATATGGCTTCATCTGTCTGAAGGATGCTGCAGAAGGGGAAGCTGAATCCCTCACACTGCACTGTAAACTCATCTAACAAGTTGAACAATGCAGCTTAGCTGACTGTGTTTCCGCTGCCCTTCCTCCTCTAACAAAACTCAATAAACTGAAATTTTCTCAGGGCTGCTAATATTGATTTTCACCTTCTCACTCACTGAAGTCTCTGAAGGATACTGACACTTTGGCTCTTTCTGTGCCGTGTCACTGCTAACAGCAATAAAAGCAGAGCAGGACGTTTGCTCCCTGATTTGCACCACGTGCGGCTAGCACTTGTGCAAGCAGGGAAGGCAATTCGCTTGGCGCTGCAGGGCAGAAGGAGAGTTTGTACCATGGCCAGTCCCCTGCACTGGGGACACGTGTGGCATAGCTGATTTCCATGCCACAAGGCAATGCAGGGGCAGTGCATAGCACGGGAGATTTTGTCTTGATGGTCAAGGCCACAGTTGCAGCAATAGTCTCTTAGGTCTGCTGACTACAGGATTGTGTTTACCTAAAGGGACTCTGGCAGGAACTGCTCGGCGATCGATCCAGAAGGACACCCAGGACAACATGACCATGAGGGTGGCAGGGAAGTAGGTTTGGAGCAAGAAGAAGAAGATGTGTCGGCGTAAAGTGAAGTTTATGTAGAGGCGATTGTACCAGCCTGTATAACAGAGAGAAGGAAAAAGAGAAGTCACACCAGCATCAAACTACTTTCATATAAGGTGATGTTGCATCAGGGGAATAGCGCCTCATTTGCTTTTAAGAAAAACACAGTTAATGACCACAGATCTTTACAGTTACAGAAAAGACTCCTTACTGAACCAACTATCAAAGTCAAAGCATCTCTCAGGACCACATCTTCCAGAGCAGATAATATAACCTGTGTACCCAGAGAGTTTAACTCATGTTAAGGCTTGGTGTGATCTTGAAGAGGGATTGCCTTTCCAGACTACATAACCATCAAGGTGGAAGTCTGTGTCAGGGACAGCAGCCTCGACATGGAAGAGAGCCAGGTCTGATGGGCCACAGGGAGACCTCCCAATGGACAATCTGCCATGGCCAAGGTCGAGAGGGATGGTTTGCACCCCTTCTTCCCCCAGCCCACCCTCTGGCAGGCACTCCGGTACCTACCTGTGCTGCTGTAAAAGGCGAGCTTTGTGGTGGTGTGAAACTCCTGGATGAGGAACTGGGACAGCGATATTCTCTCATCTGTTTTTAGGGAATCATTCCCATTCTTCCAGTAGAGCATGAGGTCGTCTTCAGTGTAGGCATCTGGGGGAGCAGAGCAAACCTCAGTGCAATGCACTGAGCCAGCTGCTATTGCACCCACAGCCCAGCGTGTGCCCACACACCTTCCAGGCTACCTGTGATGTCCCAGTTGAAAAGGCCAAATACCACTGCCCAGCTGAGAGCCACGACAATGGTGGGTATGATTGTGGCAAGGAGTGGACTAGCTCATTGCCACAGCCCTCAGTCCTGATGCCTGGTGCATTTTGTAAACCCTTTTATTTCTCTAATCATAATTTCACACACATAACCTGTGTGTCAGGTAACCCACTGCAACAGAACTTGAAAAACTGTCCCTTATAAATGTCCTAAAATCAGAAGCAAAGGAAAGGAGACTTAGAGGAAAGAGCCTGCTTGGGGTAACAGGAGGAACAATCTGCCAATGGTCTGAGGCATGCAGGAGGAAAAACACTTGGGTAAACTTTCAGCCTGTGATGCACACATGAACATTACAGGTCTTGGGTTTTTAATACGTGTGGAAATACAGTAATGTTGATACTTTCAGATGGGTTTAGTAGCAGTTCTTCCCAGGCAGGGAGAAAAAAAAAAATCACACATAAATGTATTAAAACAGAATTAAGATTATAATTTCTTATTGCAAGCTTAAGAAGGAGAAGGCAAAACCTCCTAAAAAGCTAAAAGTTTATAACGCCACTGTATGAAATCTAGCCAATTTGTATGTGCATCATACTTGGGACAAAGGAGCTACATGTGGGTATAAGCTGGGTTTATCTCAAACAGGTGTAAGAAACGTAAGAGGAAGGTGATTAATATCATTGCCCCATCATGGTTTCTACACCACGGATGAGCAGATGATGCACATGAAGGGCATAGGGCCATTTATTTATGTGTTTGAGGGCACCTGAGCAAGCGGGTGCTGCTGGAGACTGCTGACCTGCAGGCAAGTGGCCCAGGTCCTCCGGGGATGGGGTGGCAGCGGGGCAGCCTGGCTGGCTTTTGGGGACACTGGCAAGACAGCGCTCACAGCTGGTGTTTAAAAACACTGCATTGTCGCAAACACCATCTAATTCTAGTGAAAAAATATGGGCAGGGATTTTTTCTTAGTGTTGAAGTCTGATGACTTTGGTTAGAGCTCCCATGAATGTAGCAGAAGTTTAATTATTGGTATAATTATTGATATAATTAAATACAGTTTGGGTGCCCATGGGGTGCAGCCCTAGGCTCCCCTACACCTCCACTTTACTTACAGCTTTCAATCTCCAGGGAACACGTCTGTGTGTCCAGCGGAAAGCGACTAAAATCCATGTTGCACATTGCCGTTACTGTAACTCTAGGAACAACAAAAACCACTCAGTTAAAAACTTGTCATCTTATGTGACTGAAAAATAGCAAAGCTGTGAGTTTGGTTTTTTATTAAGTAACTATCTGGCCAGTTACAGTCCACTGAAAATAAATACCTTCCATTCAGCTAAAGCCATTCCACTTTAGTTAAAGCCATTTCTTCTTCTCTGCAAACCAGTGTTAGAAAAGACAACTAGAAAGTTAGGCCATTACAAATAGCTACTGGATGACAAAAATATTGGAGAAGACAATGGGAAAGGGCAAAGAGGGCACTTCTTCCTCTTTGACTACGAGCAAAAATCTCTCTGCAGAGATCTGTGCTTTCAACGGATGATGCCATGAGGGGTGCAAGTAGTTTTCTCCACACACTGCGAATTTCCAGCTGCTCAATGAGAACCCGGTGATCACACCTGGCTATCAGCCACCAGAGGGCACAGGCAGTGCCTCGAGTTAGAACTGGAGCTGGTATGCAAGAGAGCACTGAAATGCTCTGCCCCATCAATCAAAAGCTCTGGTCTTGCTATAGTTTGATTATCTCATTTTTGATAGCATAATTTTGTGCTTGCACTGGAAGCATCCATAAATCTTGACTCAACTGGCTTGAACTCTAGGGAGGTAAATGAAAATAGAAGTATAAATCATATTGGGGAAAGAATTAATGAATTATAGCAGGGCTAATAGTAGACAGACGTCTGTCACATAATGATAAAACCAAGATGCAGTCCCGTATGTTAGTAGTCCTTCTGCATGTGTGGGTTCCCACTGTGGTGTTGCTTTTCTATCTGGATTTAGTCCCTGAGTGAAAGTGCTTGGCTCAGATTTGTTGTTTAGGTGCCAGTGAGGTCTACAGTGGTTTCCAAGACAAGACAAAGTCTAGCAAAGAACCTTAAAAAGGCAGACACTGAGGAAAAAATATAATCTACAGGCAAAGGCATTCAGCAAAAGCAGGCAGGCACTAATGACCCGTTTGCTCTTACGGGGAGATCGGCATTCATACTTCCCCAGCATTCATAACGCACTCCAACCTGCAGTCACCACTGAATAAAATAGTAAAACTCTGTCAATTTGCTATTCAAGACGTTCACCTCCATTTTGTGCAGGACAATTGTTTAAGCACAAGACTGGGCATGGCAGGATCTGAGTAGTTTGATATTCTTCCGTTCCCATCTTCTTTAGACAACCATAAATGCTTGCAACACAGATGATTGGTATCATGCAGCTAAATGAAAGAGTATATAGGCATGCATGCTATAGCTGAACTTTATGTCATTTTATTGTCCTTTTTTTATTGTAGTAAGGACCTAAGCAAACTTCATGAAGGCCTAAGGAACACCTGAACCTTGTCTAATATGCTGAGTGAAGAAAAAGCTTTAATAATGAGAAGGTAGACACTGTTCAGGCTGTGAATTCCAATGAACAGTAAGATAAAAATATCAGAGAACAAGAAAATTCTTGTCAAACTGATACCCCACAGGCAATAAAGAATTGCTTTGCTTGCCTTCCTTTCATAAAATCATAAAACACCTCATGGCAGGCTCTGCTCTACCTCTGCCACTCCTAAGGTCACTGTCCAACATGCCCTTAAAGACCTCCACAGTCTTCCCAAGCAACGTGTTCTGCAACCTTATCACTAGTTAAAGTTAAATCTATGCATCTTGCTGCTACCGACCTCCTATCAGTCAGATTTTCCTTCTTTTTTGTCCTTCAGAATACATTATCTGTCATCTGATGTTTTGTTTATTTATCACGTATTTTGCTATTTCATTTCTGTGGAGGTGATGTCGACATTCTTGCATCAGAATATTGTACAGCAATTTCCTCTCTAATAGGTTTTTATGGGTCATTTGGCAATACTTGTTTTCTAACTGGATGGAGCTGCAGCCAAGAAAAAAAAAAAGCACTGATTTTAGTTTCTTTTGGAGACTGACAGATGCCCTCACTTAGCATCTCCAAGCACGAAAGCAACAATTAGAAAGAAACTCCCCTCCCCCGTTTTAATAATCTTCAGATGTATGATCAGCAATATTCAAGAAAAGTAGGCATCTAAGCTGTAAGCAGCAACCTTGAGCCCACCGCCCCACCCCTTGCCTCACACTTCGCAGCTCCCCAACACCAACAGCTCAGGGGTGCCTCTGCTTGCAGTTACGGACTTCCCCAGGCACCTGGTGTCTGCTGCTGTGCATTCCCAATAGGGTCACCATGTGGGTTGGACTGAGGGGCTCAGTTTCTCATTGACACCTAAGACCCCCCGAAGTTTCACAGGCTGAGCCTGTCTGGCCTGTTTCCCATGAAGAGTTTGTGTTGAGGAGGGAGATGTCAGAGGAAGCCTTGAGAGCAGTCTGTGGGATCTTGTATTGTTTTTTAATCACCTCCTTGCTTCTGACACCCACACACACACTTGTGTTACTCTGGAGCAGGAAATATCTTCCTCTCAAAGCTGATCCACCAGTTGGAAAGTAAGGGAGAAAGCCAGGGTTAGCATCACCCCTCAAACTAGAGAACAAAATTCTCACTTGTTCCCACGCCTCCTTCAAGGAGCTTTCACGCATTTCACATGAAATAGATAGTGCACAAAAAGCACAGAGTCGAAGTCAAGTGTTTGGGTTGCTCTAGGCGTACATGTGAGTCACCAGGAGCTATATACCCTTGCTCTGAAGCTTGTTGCTTCATGTGCTGAAGGATGCTTAGTCTGCCTGGTTGCTTATCATAAAGCTAAAGTTGTGCTCAGTATAATTTATACTTCTTCATAATTACCTTACAAATAGAAATTGCACATTTTGTTAGGCCCGGAGACTTTATTGTATAGTGAAGTGAATAACTGTAGCTGCTCTGGACTTCTGTTTATTACTAGACATTGCCCTCTTCCTTAGATAGTGCTTTGCTTCTTCAGCAGTGCCCCATGGGGATCGCAGCCCGCTGGCCCCCGGTGAACTGCTCCAAGGGACTGCCACGTCTGGCCGCAGCTTCCCAACAGCAGGGGCTAACCACGAACACAAGGTGAAGGGACACTGGTGGAACCAGCAATGTTGGCATAGAAATTGGCTTCCTGCGACAGGCACTTAATGAACTTGCAGAGGGACTCAGATGTCGGTGCATAGTCAGCACATTCATTCTTTTTTATGTTTTTTTTTAGTATGTAGTCATGCAAAAACACAATACAGGAATCAATTAAACCACTTTCTCTCTCACTCCACTGATAGCTCACATTGACAAAATGCAGCTTTACCTGAGGCTATAAAGTACCTTCCCATCTGGCTGGACCCGCAGCATAACGTTGTCTGTGGTGGTGTCATGGATGAAGGAACGCTTGGAGTGGACGAAGAACATGTCAGGGACCCAGATCTTCTTCACCAGCCTGCCATCGAAGGTCATACTTTGGTTGTTGGTGCTGGGGAAGGACAGCCTCTCGTCTTTCCAGTAGTGCCTCAGATAAAGCGTCATGGTGAAGTCCTGCAACGAACAGGCTTCTGTCACAACTTAACACCTTATCGGCAAAGCAGTGACTTCTCCTCTCTGGGACAAACCACAAGCTGTAAAGCACCGTTCCTGAAGGTACATCCTCTCCCTGAGCTGCAGGGGACATGACCGGCTGCAGCTTGTTTATTTCTCAGGCCAGACTAACTGGGTTCAGAAATCAGAGCCCATCCAGGTGGCGAATCCACCTCTGAAATGCAAACATTGTGTTTTGGTGTCTGCGACCCCCTCCAGGGACCAAAAGGCAGACATGCCAAGGCAGCAGTAGGTGGAGAGTGCTGCTAGACATGCCAAGGCAGCAGTAGGTGGAGAGCGCTGCCGACCGCTTAATCCCCCAACCCTATGATGCTGCATTTCTGGAGCCAACAGTGAAGAAGCGTTTGTTGCCCACACTGCCCTCTGCGCTGCTCCAGCAACTACCTTCCCCTGGGAAGCCGGAGGAGCGTGCTGCAGTGGGAGCTCTTCCTCCAGCACAGCCACTGAAATGTTTTTGACTCAGTATTTGACTGAAATGGGGTTGCTTTTGCTTTTTCTCCCCACATATTGTACTCTTAGATCTGAGGCATGCTCATTCTCTTTGAGGTCTGTTGTATTTGGAGTCTGACCCCAGAGGCATGTATGCTTGAGTTTGCCTTTTTCCTTATTTCAAAGGAACCCTTCACGTATCTGAAGATAAGCTCACACACAAGTGTTTATAAGCATGCTATCGTCCAGTGTAACATAATATATTGCCCATAAACTCAGGGAAGTGTCTGACACTGAGCAGTCTGCCCTGGTGTCTGGAGTAGAGGAAGTCAGGTGGGTTTGGAGTGTTTTTTTGAAATTATTTGACATTTGGATTTTTTTCTCCATAACACTTTCCAAGCATTTTGAAATATGGGGGTTTCTGCAGTCTTTTTTCAGTAGAAGTGATTTGTTAGTTGCAGCCTATGCTATTATTACAATAAAGGCCAATATAATTCTTGGAAATGCTTTATACCGCATCCAGCTGAAGCTCCCAAAGCCACTGACCATGTAATTTCTTCTTTTTCGTTTGATCTATTCTATAGCATTTTTTATCACCTTTTCCCTGTATTCAAATTTAAAGAAGATAGTTCTGGGAAACCTTTTACATTGACTCCTATGTGTTAATGTGTCCTTTAAACATTAATAAATTGACAGACGTTTGTTCTTCAGAGATAAGTCAATGCCTCACTTTTTTGCATAAAGTTACATTTATGGTTGCTGTGGAAAAATCAAGTATTGTCAACTTTCTTTAGAAATTATTTATTAACACTAGGTTTGGGCTATTAAACTGGAATCACAATATTTTATAACGCATCATCTGAAAATCCCCCCAAGCAACAACCATATAATATCTCCCTCTTCTTCTGGTCCATTTCTCAGAGACACTATTAGTTTCTCATTATCTTTGCAAATGAATTTCCAATTCTGGGTAATAATCTGGTTTTTCCTTCTTCCCATCTTTCCTCCAGATAAAACAGCTGGACCTGGACACAGGGTCAGTGGCCCATAATAGATATTCTGGTCCTTTTCTCAGAGACACTATTAGTTTCTCATTATCTTTGCAAATGAATTTCCAATTCTGGGTAATAATCTGGTTTTTCCTTCTTCCCATCTTTCCTCCAGATAAAACAGCTGGACCTGGACACAGGGTCAGTGGCCCATAATAGATATTTATACATTTTTAAATCAACTGGACAAGAAGAATCTGATTTGTGACATCCTAACGACGTTTTATAGCATTCTCTATTATTTTACCACTTTCTTGGAAATAGTCAGAAAGTAGGAGAAAAGGAAAGACTGCTGTATCTAACTCATCAAGCTTAAATTTAGGACAGAGTGAAGATCTCTGTCACTGACATCTCTTCATTTAAAAAGCAAGCAATCGTCTTGCAAAACACCATGGCCTTTTTCTTTAAAGCTGCATGAGTTAAAAAGAATTGATTCTGACAATATAAAGTCTTCTCCATCATTATTTTGCAACCAGCCAAAACTGACCCTGAATGGTTTTCTTTACCCAAGGCCCTACAATGTTTTTCCTGTGTTGCTGGGTGTTGCAACACGATGTTACACAAGGGGAAGGGGCAATATTAAAAAACCAGGGAAGTCCCTCAAAATCATCGTGCTTGCTTAAAAAATGAGTGGCAGGGTTTTTATTAATCCTGGAAGTTAAGATCTTTTCCTTTGCCTTCAAGTCCTGAAGCCTTTCAGGGGCTCCCTGGCCACCTTCACAAACTTTCTCCTCAACCAGAAGGTCTAGGACCACCCCGGGAGAGGCAAAAGCCAAGTACCCACAGCTGGCGGTCAGGGTGCCAAGAGCACCAGAGACAGGGGGGACAGCTGGAGGGCTCCCCGGTGCTGGGGAGAACGTGCACCCTGATGCATCCTGGCTTTGCAACCCTGCTGCGCCCTGCGAGTCGTCATTTGACTGTAGATATCCCAGCCCACTCAAAAGCTGAAATTGCGGCGGTGAGAGCAGCCCAACGGGCCACGGAGCACACGGCCTCTGCATGCACTTGCAGTGGCAGTGTGCAACTGGGGCAGCTGCCGAATGCCAGCTGTGCTGCCACATAACCATGCTCCTAGCTTACCCATGGAAGGAGGTCGGGCACAGGCTCTTTAGTCCTGTGGCCGTTGTTAATTAGGAGCACATAGAAGTTGGGGCTTCCTGTGAAAGCTTCAGGGCTGGTTGATACATTCGTTGTAACAGCAAAACATTTTGAAAAATGTTCTGTGTTGGGGTGTGATTTTTTTTTCTCTCCAAAGCAAAAGCTGAGCTGCTTGGGGACTAGGGATGCTCTAACAGGGTAGGTCTGAAAAGCTCTGGGTTTTGAAAGGGTGAATAAAATTGGTGTAGGTCTTTCAATGTACATGGATGCCCACCTCCTGTTCCCCTTCTGTGCCCCCGCACTCCTGCATGGGCTGTTGTAACAAGTCACGTATGCATGTAAAATCTTCCCATGGAAAATCCCCTGCAGAAATCATACCTTACTTTCGGCAGTGTTTTGTGATGAAAAAAGCCCCTCCAGCAAAAATCATCAAGACCAAAATCCATACCACTTCAAGAGCATTTGAAAACTGTCTGTTTTCACATTACTAATTGTATGGTAGGAAACAAAGGACAGAGACTCAGTAAGGAATTTAGTCTGTGCAGAGCACCAGCATCAGTCCTGCATGCCCTGAAATCCTACTTCAGCATCAGCGTGAAGATTCAGGAAGGACCAACAGAGCCTTACTCTGGTCCCCAGCACAACTTCTCACCTCTGAGCTCATTCTGGCTGCCCTGTCGAGAGCAGGACTTACCAGTCTGAACCAGTGTTGCTGTCAGGATGCTACTGGCTTCTGGTTGAGAGCTAGGGGCCCCTGACCACCTCAGAGCATAGCCAAAGCGAGACCATGTCTGCAGCGTATCAAAGTGCCGTAAAACTAGGGCATTAATTGGTCTCCTCAGAGCTTTTAAACATGCTATCACTTCTTAAGAAAATGTGAAAACCCAAATGCATTTGGAGCAGTTTTGGCAGTGTTGTATCATTTTGTCCTAGAGAAAAGAAAATGGCAGATTTCTTCCTTCTGCTTCAAGGGAGATTAAATGTTAGCATGAGGTCAATAGAAGTAATTGTCGGCAGATTCAGATCAAACCCGAATCTGCTTCATGGAGGCTGTGGAGTCTCCGTCCTTGGAGGTATTCAAATCCCACAGACACGGCCCCGGGCAGCCTGCTCTACCCGACCCTGCTCTCAGTGCGGGTTTGCGCTAGATGGTTTCCAGAGGTCCCATCTGACCTTAGCCCTTCTGTGACTCTTACCATGTCCACCTCAGAAATGCTGTCCAGACTTTCAACTTGAACATCCACCCCAACAGGAATTGCAGGGCCTGGAGGAAAAAAATTAAAAGTTGACAAAGTATAAACCTCGTGAGACAAAGTAATCCTCTGGTTTTTGTATCTTAGAGATAAAAATAGATGCTCAGTCTGAAATAAAAACAACAGTAAACCAATTGAAAGTAGAAGTGATTGGAATTCATAACAAAAACTTCCCAATAAGAACCAAAATCAGCAATGAGACTGACCTATTACTGACTTTCCCTTTTTATTGTGTCATCCTACACACGTCCCTTCAAAATTTAAAAGCAATTTTAATTGCTTTTAGCTCTAGTGCTCGGGTACAGGGCATCGGCAGAGCATCCATTCACATGGAGCAGTGGCGGCGCAGCTAAGGGAATGTGGGAGAGTTACTCCGAATTTTGCCCTCACTGCTGCTCCCCTCTCAGGCTAATAACACCCCTGAGAGCTACTCCGTGCATTTGGCTTTCACATCACTCAGTGCTCAGCTGTGGAAAAGACAGGGTGATGGGAGGGGATGCGTTGCAGGACACAGGCATGTGCCACTGAGCCTGGGGCTGCTGAGGGGAAGGCTCCGACTGTGACCCCACGTAATAGGGATTTCGATCTTTTTTTCCTCCTCCAGGCTTTGACTAGCCCCTCATATACCTCTGGCAATTACAGTTCAGGAGATCTGTCCAGACAAATGATGCTCACATTAGCAGACTGCTATGAAACTGAAACCTTTTTAAATTAATTGAACATGCTGGTATTTGGTATATTGAGCATTTAGCAATAAAATCTTCTTCCGTCAGAGTATATAATGGTATCTTGGATTTGAATGACCATCTGTCAGCCAGGAAGGGTAGATGAATTACAACATTCTCTAATCTGATGGGCTGAAAGAAAATGTGTTCTCCTTCATCCATTTCCCTGAAAGCTTAGGTTGTTCTACCACACAGCCACAAAACTGTGAGCAAGCATTAACACATGGCAGTCAAAATATTTTCTTTTGTGTTATAAATGAAATGGCCAGGTCAGTAAGCATGGTATGTGATTTGATTATGCACACATATCACCATAGTAAGACAAAATCTTAGAATTTCCCCATCATCCAGGAATAAGCATTAGGTGTATTTGAAGATTTTTATCAGAAGAAAGTGTCACTGAATACCAGGAATATTATATTGCTTATAATCACATTTCCATGCCTTTGACTATGCTATTTGCTCATCCAAGGAAGAAAGCTATTTCACTGCACCCCTATCCCCCTGAGCATGTCATGAATTCACAACACAAAATAACAAAAATTAGAGACAGAGGAGGCTCTGCTTGTCAATCTGCTTGTTCACCTGAGTACGTGTTACAGTATAAAGAAGTGACAGTGTAAAACAGGAACAGTGACAAATGTGCATGCTTCATACCTCCAAAACCTGGTCTCATGCTGAAGTCATGGTCGTCTATTCGCAGCAGCTGCTCTGACTTCGTCAGGGGAGATTTGGTGATGTCAGGGCTTCGTTTTAGGATTGGGCTACCAGGAAGAGAGAAGCACAGCTATGAGCCCTGAGCAGTGCCTTTGAGAAGTATGTGCCTGCTTCGCTCCATTACCCCTTAGACCATAACCATGCGATTGCTTGCAGTGGTTGGCAGCTTGCCATTAAAAAATAATTCCTGTACTCAACATACAGCTTAGGCACCTGTGATAATTCTGGCACTGAGAAAACATTTGTTTGGTGACTTTTTGTCTCTGTAAAATTATCTCTGCTTATAGCACAGTTTGGAGACAATCATTCAAAAGTGTGGGCTGGAGGAATAGTGTGTGTGGATAAGTGGGGAAATGGAAACGGGGGGGAGGCATTTCTGACATTGAGTTATGATGGAGCGTGGGGCCAGGAATTAGGGAAACAATATGTCAAATAAGCTACTGGCTGTTGCCCAGGAACAAAATGGAGACAGGCTGGGAACCAGGCCAGGAGGCAGGCCATCCCCTAACTTGGGATAAAATGATTAGCTCCTGCCCCAGATTTCTAATGAGGATAAAAATGGGCATTAAAGACCTGGGAGGTCTCTGAGCATTAGAGAGCCTGGGAGGGTCATTCCAGAAGCTGTTGGAGTTGCACCAAATGCTGGGCAGAGGATGCTCTGCTCCTCCCCTACATCCAAGGTGCAAAATGCTGTTCAGCACCCCGGTCCTTTGGCTGGGATGGTGGTGGCAGCAGCTCCATCATGTAGGTGAAGCCTTGCTGCCCTCAGAGCCAGCTGCATGCCAGGGTTCAAAAACGGGAGGAAAGGTTTTGCTGGTTCTCAGTTTGAGAAAAGATAGCATGCTCAGAGAGGCACTTGTCTGAATGTACACAAGACAAGTCAGAAATAGATTAAAGGAAAACAGGACAACAAAGAAACTTGATGGGGAATATGTTCCTAAGATAAAGCTCCTCCTAAATGAGACTGCTTAGCCATGCCGTACTTCTCAAAGACTCGTGGGCAGTTGTACCACAAGAAGCCAATACAACAATCTCCTAACAGAGGTCAGCAGTGTTCTCAGCAACTCCTCTCTCAAACCCAGAGCTTTATCTGGACTATGGAGTATCTTAGAAAGATGCTCAGTCTCAGCTTAATAACTTCGAAGAGTGGCGAGTCATCTACCTCCATCAGTGAGTTCTTCTAGTTATGAATTATCCCTCAGGCATTTTAAAAGGTGGCCCCTGCTTCTGCTTTAGATTTAATTCAGCCTCTGAAAGACCGGTGGCATTGTGAGTGTGCATTGGGGAAGGTTTATACCCAGCTGAGACAGGGGAGCAATACTAGCAGGTCACTGGCAAAATCTTCAACATCTGTGAGCAGGCTTGACCGTGCTCAGAAAGGCATTTTCTCCCTGGCAGTGGCAGAGGGAAGGACGAGTGGCGTGGTGGAAAGCCCACGGAGGGGGGCTCAGCTCTGCAGAAGGGATGCTCGGAGGGAAGGCGCCCGCTCACACAGCACAGGTGACACAAACCGTGCAGCAGTGCAACGTGAAGCCCAAGGGGCTATGGCAAATGGCCATGGTATCACACCATCAGCTCCATGAGGGTGTCAGGCAACGTGGCTTCCTCTGGGGCCCGCTGGATCCTGCTAATGGCATGACTCCTACCGAAATATGACTGGCATGCTCGAGTGGTGTCCCCTTCCCCTGCCACAGCCTCAGCCCGGCCATGGGGTGCAGCCAGCGGGGCTGGGCCAGCAGCAGCCACTGGAGTGTTTCGCCTACCTGCCTTGCTTGTGCACCTCACAGTGGGCCTCCCGTCTCTGCCGCTGCGGCCGGCTGCGCGGAAACAACAGGAAAAGGGAGAGCTGAGACAGGCGGTGACGGGCGAGTGGGTGAGGATATTGGGAGGGAAGCGTGGTGGGAAGCACCGGATCCCTGCAGCATTACCTTCTGTCACATGTGTGAAATGGATTTACCTTTTTTTTTTTTACCTTTTTATCAAAGGCCGGTGTCAGGCTGGGCATGGCGGAGGGTGCAGAGGGTGGGGGTGCCGGGGGCTTGCAGCCGGGACAGGGCAAAAGAAGGGAGTGATGATTTTTCTAAGGTGGGATGCCACTGGTTTTGACTGCCTGGCAAAGGACCCAGGCAGGCGGCTCGCCTCCCTCCTCCCACAGCCATGGCCAGCACTGTCAAGGGCCCTGGAGAGAGGCCACACTGCACAGGCCAAGGCGGGCTGCCCGGGGGCCTCTGCCAGTGGCGAGCACAGCCATCGCATCTACTCACCAGAGGCAGTTGGGTATTTTCATGAGAAGAAAATATTTTCAAAGTATTCCAGGGGGAAAAAAAAAGTAAAAATCTGTGGAAATATTTGTTTCTGGTTTCATAGTGTCTCCCAGGTGGCTGTTAAGAAAGGTCCTCTCAGGTGTTTGGCCAATATTTTACTTTACCATTAAAGGAAAGAATATTGCTTTTAGCAATGTAAGTGCTAGCTTGAGCAAAAGTAACATTTTAAACATTTAATAGCTCTAATTCATCTTTAATTAAAAGTTAAAAAAATTAGCTTCTCTCTGTAATAAACACTAACCCTAGTCAACTCTACTAATGAGACTTTATGCCCATTAACATACATTTCAAATCCCTCTGTAGAGATTTACAGAGGCAAAACTCCTTTTACAATAACAAGTATCACCACCCGAGCACCATCGTCCCTTTGGTGAGCGGTGGCCGAACCCCAAGCTTTGCAGGATGGTTTTTCCCTGGGCTGGGAACCCTCTGAAAGCTGATAGCATTGGAGGGAAATTCATCTTTCTGCTGCCACGGAGAAGCAGACAACCTCCTCATCGCCCAGACTAGGGGTGGGCACACTGGGCTGTATCACTGACTTGCCCTGAAGCGAAGCGTTGGGGATCATGCAGCAAAATGCATTTGCAAATGCAAAATGCACTTTCTGGAGTCTTCTGCCTTGTCAATACACCCTTGGGCTGCCCCCGACGCGTCTCGCTGCTGCCTGCTTCTCATCCGCTGGCCGTCAGGAAGTAATTTCATGTGTTTTGGGGATAAGAAGATTCTGACGACAAGCTGACCTACTTACATGACTTTAAAGTGCCCTAGTAAACTCTTGGCTGTTCAGGAATAATGTTGGTATTCAAACAAGGATGAAGCAGGCCATAGTCTTGCAAATCCTAATTTTCATTTCTCTTTGTAGAACTTATCTAATGCTTCATGTTGGCCCTGGCCCTATCCTGCCTCTCGAGAGAGCCTTCAAGGCATGGCCATCAAGGATTCACGGCCGAATCCTCCCTGTCCTCTGCACCCAGCAACCCCGGGTGGTTCCTCTTATTTCTTCCAGGTGATTCTCCACTTCCTCTAAACTAAACTTTATTTCCTTATCACAAACCAGCATAAAATGTCCCCCATGCTCCAGCCACCGCAGGGGACTGTGTTCATTTGTGCTTTGCTTCAGCTCCTTCACTTCTTTTTGCCAGTCCCATTCCCCTTGTCACAGCTCCGAGGTTACCGAGCCTCCCCTACTTTTCTGCCTCCTCCTGTGGCAGCAAAACATTTTAACCTGTTGCCAATCATTCCCCAGTTACTGCAATCTGAAGCCCCATTTCTTTCTACTCAATAAATAGCTTTTCTGGTCCGGTTCCTGGGGAGTGCTCCTCTGGCTCAGTGATCAATGGCAGCTCCATCACGGGACCCCATTAGCCTTCCTGTTCAGGCTGTGTATCAATGGCAAGCCACTACAGCTTACCCTCGCACATCTGCTGTCCCTGAGCGTTTGCGGCAGACAGCTGCACTCAGGAGATTCAGTCCAGACATTGCTCACAGATTGCTCAGAGCAACTGTTTGCCACCGCTGCCATGCAGTGTGACAGTATTGCTTCTGCCGTTGCTGGGGTGACAGGCTGCCTTTAAAACTAACCAATAACTCCTGAGGTAAAATATACTGAATAATTAACAACCTTTTTTTTTTTCCCCCCAATGTCAATATTTATCTCCTAACAGTTACACTACCAAAAGGCATTTCATGGCTCATGAAGCTCACTGAGATGCTTTATGAAAAAGCAACAACTGGAGCAGAGTGGCATTTATTCACAGTGCTCCCTGTGCATTGCTAGAGTGGCTCTCAGTCCCCTGATGACAGCTGGGATGATGGAACCTCTCCAAAGTCATCATTATTCCCCCAGATCCCCCCACTGCTTCAAGGGATCATGAGATGCCTCTGCACCAAAGGCTGAGGCTTTCTGGGGCTGGGGGGGAATGAGGCGACTGAAGCTTAGGATAGCTAGGGAAAAAAAAATTCAGCAAAACCAGATTTTCATCACTATCGCTACAGACACAAGGCAAAAAGCAGTTACTCTTTTTTTTTAAAAGTCCAAGATTTACTATGGTGCTTATAGTCCCTCCAACACAGCAAGAAGGGTTGCAGGGTTAGGAATAACCATGTCTGATTTTCAGAAGAGACAGTCCAACCATGACATCTCAAGGTTCCAGCAGGCGTTTCCAAATGCCCAGCTTCACAGGACATGTGCCAGAGGAGTGTCAGGTCCACACTTGCAGTGTGCACCAGAAAACTTACTGTATTCTTCATCTTTGAAATAAGAGCTTTTGGAAGCAACCACAACAAATGTGAGAGAAGTCACTACGCATCTTAGCATTTTAGTTTGTAATTACTTATGTAGCATACAGGTCCCACCTATAAATCGTACTCTCTTTTCTCTGCGGGAGGCAATATACCTGTAGTAGACAGTGACCTATTTTACACTCTCATTGGAATAATCTCATTAGGATCTGAGAACATTTCTTCCTTGAGGAGTGAAATCAAGATACAGTTTCAGTTCTTCAGGAAAAAGCAAGACCCAATGTATTTTCCTCAAGAGAAAAGTGAAAGTAAGTTGCTGAAGTAATGGAGCCAGATTCACACGGTCTTTCCTGGGTCCAAGGGGTGACATCCTCAAGGAACGGTGCTGGTGGGTTTGGCAGACTGGGCTAACACTAACGTTACTATTATCAGACTTCACGAAATTCTGGGACAGTCTGTTCTCTCCATCCCTTACGGTATTCTTAGGTCTGCAAAGAGGATGGCAGATCAGAGAAGAGATGTCAGAACAGATCCTGTCTCAGGAAATATGGTTGAGATGTGGCTGTGGCGTAATCTCTATCCCTTCAGTTACTTGCATCATCAGCAACATTTTGGCTGGGGGCTGTGGCTGTAACTGACCCCAAACCTCCTCCCCTGAGAGGAGGTGCCTGCCACCCCGGGAAACCTGGCAGCCGGCGGCTGGGGCAGAGACACCCGGGGTGCCCGTTTCCTCTCTGCCTATCTCATGCCTGGGTGATGCCTCCACCCCTTCTCCGGTGCAGACACTGTGGACTCTCTCCTGCCTACCCTCTGAAACCACCACGTGTTTAATTTTGTCAGATACAAGCTCTGCAGCTCAAGCTGTGCTGCGGTGCAGCCAATCCACAGCTTCTCCTACCACTAATGCAAGGCAAGGGAGAGTGTGAAGCTTGCTGAGCCAGTTTTCAGCAGGACTTTTAATTGGGAAGTAAAGAAAGTGATGAAAACTCCCTCATCCCTGCCAGCCATGCCATGGCACTCGGCTCTGGGCTCCCCGTCCCTGGGTGGACACTGGTGGGCAGCTCGTGCGATGCTCCCATCCTGCACCCTCTATGCTGCACAGCCTTCATGCCATGCTGGGCAGGAGAATGGCAGGAGCTGTGTTATCCTCCGTCTGCCTGTAAAATTATGGCTGGGCAAGGCCCTGACGAAATGCTGCCCGAGGCAGAAGGACCAGGAAAGAGCAGCGGAGGCAGCCCAGCTCCCTGCAGGGGACAAAGCTTTGGAGGGGAGGACACAGGAATAGTAAAGGTGTATTGGTACTACTAAAAAGCTGTGAGAAGTGTAAAGGTCTTATTAAAGACCTATGCCTAAATATTTGACGAGCTTTTGTTTCTCCCTCTGTTTTATGACTAGTTAGTGACTTGGGTTCATACCACATCAGCACCATGTTAAAGGCAGAAACCAGGCGGGGTGTGTTGGGTCAGGGAATGTGGGAGAGGCAGGAAGGGCCCGGGGTTTGTATGCACAAACATATAGAAGGTTTCTGCAGAGAAAAAGTGGGGCAGAGGCAAAGAGAGCTTGGATCTGCAACAGAGCCTATGCATTAGGTGAGACTGAGGAGAAAAGAGGCTGGATAGGCAGAGATGGGGAGGGAGGGGAAACGCTGGCTAAGGCCAGAGGGGAAGATGTCAGAAGGAGCAGAGAGGAAACATCAGGCTCAAACAGTGCCTCATCATTGTGTGGGATGACTCCTGGGGTACGGACACTCCGGACCGTGAGTGTCCGTACCATGAGTAGGGGTGTCCCCTCACCGCAGAGTGGTGCAGGACAGAGATCCTGCCCGGCCCCTGTAGATGCATGAGCCTCGCTGGGCTAAAGAACCTCCCAGACTGTGTCCCAAAGGAAGGAAAGAGGTTTGGGGGCAGTGCCTTTGACTTGCAAATGAATTGGGAAGACCTTCTCAGTAAGCAGGAGATGCTGGTGGACAGGTGGTGCAGCAGGTCTGGGTGAAGACTGAGAGGTAGTCCAGAGCCCAGAGAAGTGCTTTGCGGGAGGTAGCCTAAACAGGGAGAAAAAACACCCAGCACCTGAGAGAGGAGAGAGCAAACTTGCAACGGGAGGAAGCTGCTCTTACCCAGTGTCATACACTGCAGGAGACATGATCCACTGCGTAGCATACTAATTCCCAAGGATAATGTAGGATAAAAATCCACTAATTTGTACTCAAATGGGGAGAGTTACAAAGTTGTGAGCTGTAAACAAGCCACTAA